TTTCCATGGACGGGAGTGGGGGATGGGGAGGGGATGGTTCGGGATGATTGGGTGGAGATGTGAATGATGGGGAGCGGCTGTAAATACTGATGAAGATTTGCTGGCTTGCCCACAGCTCACCTCCTGCTGTGTGGCCTGGTTCCTAACAGGTCACAGAACTGTTACTGGTTCTGCAGCCTGGGAGGTGGAGACTGTAGAAATAATCCTTTTTTTCTTTGTAAATTACCCAGTCTTAGGCGTTCCTTTATAGCAACACAAATGGACCAAGACAGCCCATGTGCCTGAAGGAGCCTCTCCTTCCTTCTTCATTAAATCCCAGCAAACTGTCCAGATAGCCTCCCATTGGATGCGCCCTTGGAGCTCTTCCTGGAGGGCTGGGACAGTGCTCTCTTTAGCGAGCAGGTGACCCTCAGTAGCCAGGACATATATTAGGGACTTTCTTTGTTTTCCCAGCCCTTAACTCTGTGCCCCACACATCAGTAGTGATAGGCAGTGTCTCTGCTACTACTAAAAGAGGAGACAAAGATGTCATCTTATGTTTGTCTGGATTAGGGGGAAAACCTGCTAATGCTCGGGGCATGCACATTGCTAAATGCCAGGCACCGTGCCAGGCTGTCCTAAGAGTTTATGTTCCTTAATTCTCCATTCCCAGATTCCACCATCCCAAACCACGAAGTTTATATTTACCTCTTGGCTTGTTAGTGAACAAGAAACTTCCAGCCACTCACTTGAACTTGCCCAGCCAGGAGTCGGCGATAAGCGCCCCGAGAACGGGCGTCAGGTAGCACAGAGCGACGAACGTGTGGTAGATGGCGGTGGACAGGTTGTCATCCCAGCCGATGAAATTGGTGAAGTACAGAATCAGGATTGCTTTTTGCAGAGGGCGGGTGGGGGAGGAGGAAACTGCGTTAGGACTGGCCGTGGTGGCCCCTGCCCTTCCCCGAAGGGGAGAAGTGGCTAAAGCAGTTACCTCTCATCCCATAGTAGGAAAATCTTTCACAGAACTCATTGACCACGATGAACAAGATGCTCAGCGGGTAACCGAAGCAACTCTGGCAGAAAGAAACACAGCACAGGACTGAAATGTGCCTCTCTGGTGCCGTCCTCAACTAGTGCCCATGGCATGGACAGTGGCCAGAGCATATTCAGAAACTCCCAGTGACAATCCAGAGATGGGGACTAGAATTAACAAGTTTTATTCCCTTACACGAATCGTTCCATAGACAGACAGCAATGACATCAAGCACCTTGTTTGACAGTTAGTCTACAAAGGACTCCACGCAGCAGGATATTGCACCCAGACACCCAGGATCATCCCCGCGTTGAGGCGCCATACGTATTTGTCAGGTGAATGAACACGTAGGAGTAAAACAGATTGTAAAATTCATAAAATGAAGATAGGTAGAGAAGGAAAAAGGACACTCACCTTTGATTTAGACATTCCTGAAAGAAAAACAGAACGCCAGTATTAGAGTCAAGCCATTGCAGTCCATTGGCTGTGTCTACACTGACACCCACTGCCTTCTCGTGGCAATCAGAGGGCCACGCACAGGGCGGCTCCTGCTGTCCCAGGACCCCAGCCGGAGACTCGCGATGCTTATGTCGAGCGGGGCCTGGCACCTGTGTGTCCTTCCAGGGAGCTCCTCAGGCAGTCGCATGCACAGTCAGAATTGAGAGCCTGCAGCTCGGAGAATAGGACCCCAACCATTTCCTCCTCAACCCACTCCAGAGGCTGCCCCTCAGGGTAAAACCCAGATGTGTTCGTATGTTATCCACTGTCTTCCAAGGTCATCGGGTTTTTGTGAGGAGTAATTTACTGCAGTACAAAACACTACGGGTGTCTGACACACAGGCCTTCCTGTTCCCCATGCACAGAGGAGGACAACAACTCCAACTCTTTGCTCACTGAGTGCATCGTGCACGCACCAGAAGTCCCTAACACGTGAGACAGCAACTCCTCCGCCTCTTTCACTGTGCCACTTCCTACTCCTGCTTTAAGTCTTGCCACCGAGACTACCTTCCCCAAGTTTCCTCCGGCCTTCCTACGTCACCACAGTGTAATGATGGTTAGTTTGTATTTTTGCTTCCCTTCTAGACTGAGACCCTCAAGTGGAAGAATCATGCGCCACCCGTCATGCCAACATCTCCACATCCCAACATCTTATGCAACACCTACGGCTAGGAGGGGCTCATTGTGGAAGAGTGGATCAGAAGGGCAAGAAGAAAAAGCATGAGAATCCACGAGTCAGTGCAAACCGCATCCAGTGCACTCTGGGGTCTGAACCCTAGAGCACCTTCCTCCCTCCACTGCAGCCCAGCTCCTCTGTCTCCCCTGAATCTTGGCAAGAGCTGACCTGTCCCTTTGTTCCTGGTCTTTACACCTCCTACCCTGCTCCCTGCACCAACACACCACCCCGTGTTTATCCACCCTGTCACATGCCACACCATTTCCCATGGAAATCCATCCCCTTTGCCCTCAGCCACCCAAGTGACCTCATCTTAAGAGTCTCTGTTGCCAGGGCTCCCCACACATGCTTCCCTCTGTTAGGAATCAGCGACCCTACAGCAGTGGGTCTCAGGCCTGAGTGTGCCTTAGAGTCACCAGGAGCTCATGAGCACAGATCGCTGGGCCCCTCCCCAGGCTGCTGACTCTGTAGGTCTGGGGCGGACACTGGCTTTGCATTTCTAACAAGTTCCCAGATGTTGGTGCTACCGCTGGTCCAGGCTGCATGCTTCAAGAACCACTGCACTAGAGAATTAAAAATAATCCTTAAGAGACTGTCCTGTCCCCAGTGCATGATCTCGGTGCCTTTTTCAAAAACGAGTTGGCTGTAAATGCATGGATTTATTTCTCGGTTCCCTATTCTGTTCCATTGGTCTATGCGTCTGCCTTCATGCCAGTACCATGCTGGTCTGGTTACTGTGGCTTTGCAGTATGTTTTCAAGTCAGGAGATGCGATGCCTTCGGCTGTGTTCTTTGTCTCAGGATTGCTTCGGCTATGCGAGGCCTTCTGTGGCTCCAAACAAATTTTAGGATTCTTTTTTCTGTTTCTGTGAAGAAATGTCATTGGACCTTGTCATTTGCAGCAACATGGATGGAACTGGAGGACATGTGTTAAGTGAAATAAGCCCGGAACAGGAAGGCACAAACTGCGTGTCTTCACTCACATATGGCAGCTAAGAAACTGCCGTCATGAAGGTGCGGGGTCGTGATGGTCACCGGAAGCTGAGAAGGACATGGGGACGCAGGAGGATGAAGAAGGGTTGGTTAACGGGTACAAACACACAGTTACACAGAATAAGTTCTGGTGTTCAACAGCAAAATTAGATGAATATAGTTAACAATAATTTATTGTATATTTCAAAATAGCTAGAAGAAAAGATTTAGAATATCCCCAAACACAAAGAAACGATAAATGTTTGAGGTGATGGATATCCCAACTACTGAGATTTGAGCATCAAACACTGTATGTCTGTATCAAAGCATTAAATGTACCCCATACATATGTACCAACTATTATGTATCTATAGAATTTTTTTAAGTCCTTGAATCCCTTGGCTGCTCATGAGCCGCATACAGCCACAGCGTGGCCTACGTGAAAGGCGGTTCAGGGGGACGTCGGCGCCTGCCGCCGTGGCCTGCATTTGAGAAGACTGACTTTTCTCCGTACCTGAGGGTCTGCATTTGTTACAAGTTCCAAAGTGATGTTGATGCTGCCGGTCCAGGGACCACACTTTGAGAAGCTCATGCGGGCTGCGAGGGTGTGTTGCCTGATGGCTCTGCATACGGCCTGTCACCTCCTGCCTCCGAGCACCAGAAAGACCACGGCAGGCTGGTTCCAGAGCAGAAACCCCACACGGGAGCTGCACAGCGCACTGGTCTCCTCCACGGCGCCCCCTCCACCTCTCACGCCGCTCACCATTGGGCCCCTGTGTCTCAGATTTAGTGCCTGGTATTTTCACCACATGCAGTCCAGCGCCCTGGCCCACTGGACAGAAGTCACAGCTCTGGCGGAGGAGCCCCCTTCCTGGCCCTGCAGGCCTCCCTGTCTCTCCCCAGTAGCCTCCCCCCAACCCCTGGGCCATCTCCACTGTGCCAGCGCAGCGAGGCCCAGGGCCGCCCCCTGCAAAATGGCCTTGAGTTTTGCCCACTTAAGAGCATTTTAGATGCGATTTTAGTCCTTGTCCTAAGGAGGGAAATAAACTGTCTTGGTCTCACAGGACCCCAGTTCCCAAGTCTTCCCGTCTGTTCAAGTCCTGGGCGGAGATTCCTCAACAGCAATAAACTGGTTTTCTCCCCAGTTAGATGCCCTTGTGGGAAGGGGCCGTTGCCAGGGCGATGCATGAAGCCCGTGGAGTCAGATGTGTGACTGAGCCTCAGCTCTGGAACTTGCCAGCTGTGACCTTGGGCAACCCCTCTCTCTCTCTGGACAGCCTGACACCCAGGCGGAGACGACGCCCCGCCCCGCCTGCGAGGAGCTGCAGGGTCCATGGGACCCCCACGTGGAGCCTGGCGCTTGAGGGATGCTACTGTCCCAGAATCCTCAGCTCCTCAGGGGGCGCCTCCCACAAGGTGGAAACTAAGTGTGTGTTGATCACGTTTCCGCAGCCCCCGTCTTGTCAGTCACCAAGTGCAGTGTTCAGATTCCCGCCCTACACCTCGCTGGTTCCATTTGCCCTGCAGGTCCCTGAGGCTGACCAGCAAGGATGTCCCCGATGTCCCCACGTCCCACCCTGGCTTCCAGGGCATTTGGCCAATGTGGAAGATCAGATAGAGGGAGGAAAAGTCAAGTTATTTGCTTTTCTGGCACCCCCTGCCAGGCCACCTCCGACTGGCCCTGTCCCCAAGTGGTAGTCACGGCATCTCCCGCCACATGGCTTTCTCTCTTCTTCCAGGTCTTGGTGACTGTTCCCTCCCCTCACCCTTCAGGTCACCACCACCCCAGTGTCTGCACTATCATTTATGGTCCTCCCACTCACTTTTCTAGACTCTTCCTCGGAGTGAAGCCTCCTATATTGAGCACGCCATGTGTTTCCTGATAGGACAGCGGTGACACAGAGCACGCGCTGCGCACCCGTGCTGTCCTCCTCCACTGCCAGGAGGGGGTCTGCAGACAAACAGGGAGGGCAGTCGGGCAGGCGTGCTTTGTTCAAGCTGGACCCGAACTGGCCGTTGGTATTTTTCAAAGACTTTGGATAACAGGGCCTGACCACTGCCTCCCACGGCCAAAGCAAGGGGTAACAGCCACCCAAGCCCCGTATCGCTCCTGGCATGGGCCTGCTACGGAAAAACAGGAGGGAGCCCTGAAAACTTACACCCAGCAGACAGAGCGTGGGGCTGCATCACCGCCTCCCTTTCCCTGATCCTCAGAGGCTGGGTTCACAGGCAAAGACTTTGTCTTGCTGGGCTAGTACCTCTACTTTTTTGCTAAATAATAAGGGCAAAGTTTTTGCTTACTTCAAACTCATATAGGGTTATAGAAAAGGGACCAAAACATTCAGAGAGCCTAGGTCTTATTTTAATAATCATCATAACCAGAACCCAGAATTTTGGAAAAGAAAATTCTTTAATTCGCTGAAGTGTAAATATGAAATTTAGTACCCAGTCCTCACTGAGGAAGCATTTTATTTTCTGAAAGGTGTACATTCCAAAGAACTACTTTTATTATTGCAGGGCAGAGGTTGCTAATTCTTCTATAGAATCCAGAGCTACCTACTGAATGTCATGTTGCAGTCAGCATTTCTTATCTGACACACCTGTGTCAACAGGATTGCTGTCTTAGAAAGCTCAAGTGCAGAAGTGGTGTTTACAGCTACACTCGAGACTGAACTCCAATTTCAACTGCCACAAGACTCTGTTTGCTTTGGTACCATTGCGTTTGTAGTTGGCGTCCCAAGAGTAAATCCCATTGGCATATTTGAGTCGTCCCATGTTCCCAGCATCACTCTTGGACCCCGTGGATTGAACGACTGCTCAGAGCCAAATCCAGCTTAGAATCCAGACCCGCCAAGACCTGGCTTAGCCCGTACCTGGCTCACGGGAATCACTGAGCACTGACTCTCCTTGGTATTCTAAGCTTAGCAGGGGTTTTCCTTTCTTTTGGCTACAGAATTGAACAGAATAAGTGCATATTATGCATTTCTATGATTTCTGACTTGGGGTAGGGCTTGGGGAGTCGGGGAAAACAGGAGAAAACAAGGATTCCACCCTTCCCACCATTTAATGAAATCTCCCCACTGATGTATTTCCTACTGTTTGTACAAAGCATGCTCCGTATTTGGGACCATTTAGGAATAGAAACTCTACCTCTGACATTTTATTACCATGAAGGGGGTAGAGATGCACTTCTAGGAGGTGGACTTGGTAAGTTGGAAGGATCAACACGTTTAGCTGGGGTCTGAGAGAGAAGTCCTCACCTTCAGGCAGAGAGAACCCTTTCC